GATTTTCCTGTCCAGGCTGGCTTTGAACTTTGATCCTCAGTTCTCAGCCTCATAAATAGCTAGGATTACAGGTGTGAGCCACCCCCATGCACCCAACCGATTGTTTCTTTCATAGTGATTGGTTTGTGGGTCTGCACATGACATAGCTCCACCAATAATAAGAATGTACCAACTAAGGCACACCTCCATCCTGCCTTCCATTGGTTAATTGGAGTTACAGATTTTTCTTCTCTGCCATTGGCTTCTATTTTCATATGTCAACCTCCTGAGTAGTTAGGATTACAGGTGTGAGCCATGAGTGTCCATTTTTTTTTTTGTTGTTGTTTGTTTTGTCAGTCATGGGGCCTGAATTTAGCCTGGGCGCTGTCGCTCAGCTCTTCAAGGCAAGCACCCTTGAACCACTTCACCACTTCTGGCTTTTTCTGCTTATGTGGTGCTGAGGAATCGAAGTCAGGGCCTCATGCATGCAAGGCAAGCACTCTACCACTGAGCCACCTTCCCAACCCAAGGGTGTCCAGTTTTTAATGGACAATTAAGGGGCAATAAATAAGACAAAGTTGCAGAAGATCCTAAGAAAAATTAAAGAAAGGGTAGAGGACTCTTGTCTAGCTGTCTGCCGAGGACAGGGCAGGGAATGAACCTTGAATGGGCAAGTGACAAATCAGAGTAGACCCTCACCCTCAGGTAGCATCTCCTCCTTTTTGCCCCAAAACATTTGTTGAATAAGCTTGAATCCTAGCAGAAAGCCCTAGTGGCACACACATGTAATTGTAGCAAGGCTGAGATCTGAGAATTGTGGTTCAAAGCCAGTCTTGACAGAAAAAAAAAAAATCAGCAAAACGCTAGACTGGAGGTGTGGTTCAAGTGATAGAGTACCAGCCAAGTAAGCTGAGCAAAAGCAAGTTTCTACAAGTCAGAAGCTAGTGGTTCATGTCTGTTCTGATCTGAGGATCCAGATTCAGGATCTAATCTGGGCAGGAAAGGCATGAGTTTGTTTTTTTTTGTTTTTTTGATTTTTTGGTTGGTAATGGGGTTTGAACTCTGGGCAAGCACTCTACTACTTAAGCCACAGCACCATTTCCAGTTTTCTAGTGGTTTATTGGAGATAAGAGTCTAGTACTTTCCTTCCTGGCCTGGCTTTGAACCTTGATCCTCAGATCTCAGCCTCCTGAGTAGCTAGGATTATAGGCAGGAGTCACTGGTCCCGAGCTGAGCTTGAGACTCTTTTTTTTTGTCGGTCATGGGGCTTGAACTCTGGGCCTGGGCGCTGTCCCTCAGCTCTTCAGCTCAAGGCAAGCGCTCTACCACTTGAGCTACAGCGCCACTTCCGGTTTTCTGGTGGTTTATTGGAGATAGGAGTCTCACGGTCTCTCCTGCCTGGGCTTGCTTTGAACCGAGATCCTCAGATCTCAGCCTCCTGAGTAGCTAGGATTACAGGCGTGAGCCACCAGCGCCCGGCTTGAGCTTGAGACTCTTATCTCCAATTAATCACTAAAAGTCAGGTGTAGAGGTGTGGCTCAAGTGGTAGAGTACTAGACTTTCGCAGAAAAAGTCAAGGGAAAGTGGGAGGCCTAGAGTTCAAGTCCAGTACCAGCACACCAATACACACACATACACACACACACACACACACACACACACACACACTCTATTTGGAAGGGGTATACTTATAACCTGACTTATGGAACTGTAACCCCTTTGTATAACTATTTCACAACAATAACAACAACAAAAATATCCTACCTATAAATTTTTATGAACAAGGCCAAGTTATGTGGTTGGCTTCACATGAATTTTGTAGGAGACACAAAGTGTCTAGTGACATTAGTGCTTATACTAATATCCTTTCTGGCTCCATGATCCAACCTTGGACACCCAGTGACATTTAGGAGTGTCTGTGGGGTTGGATTCAGTCTGAATTTCCAAGAATCTGAACCTGTTGTTTTCCTAGTCCCGTGTTAATGGCATTTACAGGTAAGTCTTTGAGATGTGCTTGGTTCTTGAGGCTTCACCCTCATGGAGGGCTATACCCATTCAGAGACTAATGGGTTGAAATAAGGATACTGGGTCTATCTAGTGCCATCTTGGCAATGTGATGGATAATAGGGAATCTAACTCTTGCAGGTGAAGCCCCACTCCCAGGTGATGGTCAAGCCTAAATTCCTAGAGGCAGGGGCGGTACAGCCGCCATTTTGTACCTTGCCTCTTTTTTTGCTTCTCTCCTTAGGTCACCATGGCATCTTACTTTGGCTCTGCACTGGAGTTGACCTGGTATGTTGGGATTGTTTTTCTCGTATATGCGTCTACCTACCTACAGTCACTGGCTTTTTGTTTTTGAACTCTGGGCTTGGGCACTATTCCTCAGTTCTAATTAAGCACCAAAAGAGCTGAAAGTGGAGGTGTGGCTCAAGTGGTAGAGAGCTAGCTATAAGTGAAAAAGACAGCACCTAAGCCAAGTTCAAGCCCTTTCTCCTCCCAAAACAGTAACAATAAAAATCCAGACTCATGAATTTGCCCTCACTGGGCGCTTGTTCATGACTAGCACTGAGTCAAGCCTCTAGCCTGGTTAATTTGAGATGGAGTCTCTAAAAGCCCAGGATTTTTCTACCCTGGCTGGTTTCAAACACTGGTCCTCTGATCTCAGCCTCCTGAGTCCCTAGAATAGGTTTGAGCCACTGGCACCTGGCTAAAATGACCTGGCTAAAATAACTCTGGGTAGTTGGGTTGCTTTTGCCTTTTCAAGGGGAGTAAGACCTCATACTTGCTAGGCAAGTGCTCTACTACTACTGAACTCCACCCTTTCCTCTCTTCTACCTCCCTCCCTCTTTTTCTCCTCTCTTCCTTTTTTCCTTTTTTTTCGGGGGGGGGGGGTCTTTTGGACTTGAACGCCACCTGAGCACTTTAGCTCAAGGCAAGCAGTGCTCTACACTTGAGCCACAGTGCCACTTCAGGTTTTCTGGTGGTTATTTGGAGATATGAGTCTCATGGACTTTCCTGCCCCGGCTGACTTGGAACTGTGATCTCACAGCTCAGCTCCTGAGTAGCTGTGATTACAGGCGGGAGGCACCAGCTCCAGGCCTCCCTGTTCCTTTTTGAGAAAGTCTATGTCCTCCAACACTCGGATCCTTTTGTCTCAGCTTCCTAAATGCTGGGATAAAGGCTTGGTACACCCTAGAAGCACGTGTAAAGACCAGTCCCTGTTATTTTCTCTTGGTTATCTCTGGGCTTGGCAACCCTCCACCTCAGAGCCCCATTTGACACCCACACCTGGAGCATCCCGACCCTTGGCCCATCAGAACAGATAAAAGGAAAGACAGCAGCTCTGAGAGCTGAGAGCAAGGCCAGCCCTGGAGAGAGCAGAGCTGTGGGCCCGGACTCTGTTTCCCTCAGGTGATGTCTCTTTCAAGTCATCCCTGACATTGAGGAAGAGATGGGCCATTCTCTCAACAATGACAGAGACCTTGTGTGCACTTGGGTCAAGCTTACTTCCTGTCTCCTGGGAAAGCTTTCCTGTGTTCTGTGCACTTCCATGTTTTCCCATGGACACTAAAGGGCTGGAGTTGTTTCATGTTTATAAGTTATTGGCACCTAAGTCACCCCTCGTTAAGTCCAGCGACTTAAATGCCGGCTGGCACATAGTAGGTACTGTGTTCTGGAGGCAATCTGTCACCAGTGAGCGACTTCGATCACAGTACCGCCCCGAGAGAGGAATACGCTACACACACCGCTAGCTAATAAGACCCTGCATGGCTTTCTGCACCCTGTAATTTGGATCTCCAGGAATCGCCTTTGTTGTGGGCGACCAACCACAGGCAAAGCAAGCACCTGCTTCTCCAGCTGGTCCTCGAAAGGAGGACCTCCCGCCGGCGCGACCCCGCTGCCTTTCGGGGACCCTGTGCTGCGCTTCCCGGGATCTTGGGAACCGGGAGGCGCCCCCGGGCCCGCAGCCAGGGTCCGCCCCGGCAGTTCCCAGCCGCGGGAACGTGCGTGTCCCCAGATGTCCCCGGCCGGGGCCAGCATTCTTTGTCCCTTCGGACTGTGTAGGGGGGGGCCGAGGGCTGCGCCCGGGACCTCGTCCGGCACCCCGGCCCGCGGGACCCGGGGCCTGAGTCACGGCTGCCACCCCGGGGCCACCTCCGTTTTGCAGGGCCGGCCTGGGCGCAGCCCGCTTTCGGCCCCGCGTACCGGGCGCTCCCCCTCCCTTCCCCGCCGGCGCCTCCGCGGCCGCCGCCCTCACCCCGGGGCCGGCTCCGGCGGAGCCTCGCCCGTGCGCCCCTCCCGAGGAGAGGCCCGAGCTCCCCGCGCTCCGCGGCGGCTCCCGCGGGAGGGGGCGCGGCCGCCCCCGCGGCTCCACCCTCTCGGCGGGGCCGCAGCCATCTGGGGCCCCGGCCAGTCGCTGGGGCTCCGGGGCCCGCGCCGACCTCGAGCAGAAGGAGGCAGAGCCCCCGGTCCGCAGCGCCGGGCGCCGCACCGGACGGCCCCCGGCCCGCGCCGCCGCCGAGAGCCCCGCACTGGGATGCCCCGAAGGGGCGGTGGCCGCGAGCCCAGCCCGAGCGGGAGCGCGTCGCAGCGGACACGGGCGCCCCTCGCCACCTCGGAGACCCCTCGGGAGCCGCGAGCCGAGGCGCGGAGGCGGCGGTGCGGGCCCGCCGGGCGGCGAGGGCCCTGCTCCAAGCGTCGGTGGCGAGCGCCAGCTGCGCGCTCGTCGCCTCCTGCCTCTTTCCCCCCAGCCCCCCGCGAGCTGGCAGGAGGAAATAGCACGCGGCCCCTTTAAATTTACCCAGGAGCCCTTAAAGGAGCCCCAGGGGCCCCAGACAGGAATCCCCACCCCGGTCCAGCCCGCGCCGCCGAGCGAGCAGCCAGCCGTCCGTGCGGCCGGCCGCCCCGTGCATGCGCCCCGCGCCCCGGAGCCCCGCGCCCCGAGCGCCCCGCGCGGGCCGCCGCCGGCCCCCGCGGCCCCGCGCCCCGCCGCCCCGGGGCCCCGCTCCGCAGCGCAGCTCATGGAGCCCGGCGGGGACCACCGGAGCCGGAGCGGCGGCGGCGGCAGGGGCGGCCCCGGGCCAGCAGCGGCCTCGGCACGGAGCCGACGGCTGCCCCTGGCGGCATCCAGCGGCGGCGCGGAGCCCGAGGAGGACGACGGCGGTAAGAGCTGGGGGCCGGTGGGCCCGGGCGGGGGCCCCGGCGTGGGGGAGGGGAGGCTGCGGCTCCGGGCTCCGGGCTCCGGGCCCCTCTCCGCCGCCGAACAAAGGGGGGGACGTGGGCAGGGCGGCCGGGGGCGCCACCTGGCGGGCGCGGGCCGCGATCGCAGGGCTAGCGGGAGAGCCCCCCGCCCAGCTCCCGGGGTCGGCCCGCCCGCGGGGGGCTCGGGCGGATCCCCGTCCGCTTAAAGGGCCCCACAGCGGGCGCCCCGGTTTGGAGGGCCCCGGCGGTGGGGCCCCGCGCCAGCGCCACGGGGCTCGGGGCGATTGGACTTGCGCCCCCACCCCCGCCGCCGCCCCTTCTCTTCCAGACACCCTGGTGGTCTTTCTTATCCAGCCGTCTTCTGAAGGGCCGCGCTGACCCCCAGCCCCTTCCCCTCGGGGTCCCCCCCCCCAGTGGATTTCGGCATCCCGCTGGTCTCGGGCGGGCTGCCCCTTGTCGTGGCCTGGTGGAAGACTGGAACTCTTCCCCACGTTTTCCCTCGGGAAGAGGATAGCGCTCTCTCTCTCTCTCTCTCTCTCTCTCTCCCTCCCTCTCTCTCTCTCTCTCTCTTCCCCCCCCCCACCCCCGGGGGCCACTACTACCCCCATCCCCTACCGCGGGCAGGTTTTAAATAAGGGATGGGTTTGCCCACAAAGGCGGACGCCTCCTCGCGCCTGCCGGGTGCCTTCTCGTCCCTTTCTCAGGGTTTATTTGGACCCCAATTTGTCAGCTGTTCACGGGACCAGCTAGGCTTCCTTGGCACCGAAATCAGAGGCTTTCATCATTTGCCTGCTTGTAGGGTCCACGCCTTAAGACCCTGGAAAGGTCCTGTCCGGGGTCGGGGAGACCTGCCTGCACCTCTCTGGGATCTCTTCCCAGAAACTCCCCATCCCCTTTTGTTTTTAAAAAAATCTCAGCTCCTCCTCCTCCCTTTTTTTTTTTATCGGCTCTTAAAGGGCCAGTCTGCCTTAGACAAGCCTAATTTCAGCGCTGGAAGGATGCTTAGAGAGACCCCCACTAGCTACCCTGTGCCTTACCAGACAAAGACTCTCAGGCCCAGAGAGCAGACGTGACCTACCAAAGGTCACAGAGCAAGTCATCAGTGAAGCCAGCACTCCCCCACCCATGGATCTCCTTATAACAGAAGGAAAAGAAAACTAAAGCAAACAAGCAAAACTCCACCAATGTCACCGGAGCCCTCTCAGATCCTGCCTTTTGTTTGCCTGACCCTGGGATTCTCTACTAGGAGGATGGCCAAAACGTGCCAGTTCCGTCTCTATGACCAGGTCTCCTGGCCATTTGCTCAGAACTGTAGGGAGGGTGGGTGTCTGTGTGACAAAGGGATGGTCAAAGGGCTCCTCCAGTGTGCCCGCCCTTCTGATTGCCGGGCAGCAGTCTGCTCCCTGCCACAGCAGAGAATAAATGCCCAGAAAGACTTCACCGGCTCCTGTGGGTGGTAGCTGCTCCCTGACGCTGTATGTTCCGGGGCCAGCCCCTTGCCATCCCTTTTCAGGGTCACTGACCCTCCCAGATTCTGGGGAAGGCCAGGTCTCAGAAACTCCTTTTCCCTGGAGGTGGTGACAGCTTCTTCTGGAGGGTCCCTCTAGTGGGGGACCTTTATTTGGGGGAACTAACTGTATACCCTACCTTCAGAATAGACCCTCAGTATGTATTTGAAGCATTATTGGAAAAGAGAGAAGAGCTTTGGGTGGGGGCCTTCCTGGCTTGAGCCCCAGGTGGGTGGATCCTGGGCCCAGCTCTGGCTGCAGACAGATGCCCCCTTTGTTCCTCTCACCCCACTGCCTGTTCTGCTCTGGTTGTAACCGCCCCAGCCTGCTGCTGCTCGCCTGGCTTTATCCCTACTGCTTTCAAAAGGGCACCTTGCAGAGCTGGCGGCCTCCTTGGCCCTCACCTTATTTCTCAAAAGTCACAGCTAGTCCATGCAGCGTCCTGTGTCCTTTTGTTCTTGAGCCTTTCTCACTGGATCCTTGCTCTTGGTAAAGGGTGCTTTGACTCCCTGCTTCTCCCACATCCCTTTTCACCGCCCTTCCCTCGCTGCCATGCATCCTTTCACTTGGCTTTCTCATGCTTCCAAATCAAAGCCCCAGGTTCTTTTCTCTGGACACAGGAGATTGAACAACTGTCTCCCTTTCCCCTTCTTCAGGACAAGATCTTCAGCTGGAAGGGGGTGCCTTGGGGTCCTGGGGGAGTAACCCCCTCCCCTCTCCCAGGGCCAGGGGACCAGCATCTTCAGGCAGGAAATACTCAGACCATTGTGAGGCCCGGGCCTCCAGGCCTGGAAAGAGCCGCATTCCTGGCCGTGATCACCGGCGCTACTACCACGACCACTGGCGGCTGGAGTACCTGATGGATTTCAACCCCGCCCGGCACGGCATGGTGTGCATGGTGTGCGGCAGCTCCCTGGCCACCCTCAAGCTCAGCACTATCAAGCGGCACATTCGCCAGAAGCACCCCTATTCCCTGCACTGGAGTCCCCGGGAGAAGGAAGTCATCAGCAACAGCTGGGACGCCCACCTGGGGCTGGGGGCCTGTGGCGAGGCTGAGGGCCTAGGGGCCCAGGGGGCTGAGGAGGAGGAAGAGGAAGAGGAGGAGGAGGAGGAGGCAGGCAGCCTCCAAGCGTGTCCGCCCAAGGCCCCAGGTAATGCAGGGCAGGCCAGAGGCAGGGGTTGGTTCCGGGGTGCGATGGGGAGGCTGGGGCCAGTAAAGCTTTCAGCCCCCTTAGATGATGGTTTTCTGGAGGATGTCACTGCTCCTTCCAGTGGGGTCTGTTAATTGCCTTCCTGTCTGGTTGTGGGTGTGTGTGTGTGGAGAGGGGGGGTTGGCTGAGGGTAGTCTCCAGCATCCTTGATAGCAGCCTTAGGCTGGGAGGAGCTGGGGCTGGTGTGGGGATACGAGGGCTTGAAGGATGGCTGGCAGCTTTCCTGAATCTGAGCCTGGGGAGACTTTGTGTGCTAGAAGATGTGAGGGGAGAAGAGAAGGGCAAAGGTCAGGGGCGAGGCTGTGGAGAGCCTGGCCGTGGCGTGGGGCTGCCCACAGGGCCCAGCACCTTAGTTGCTTCCCTCCAACCCTTTCAGGCAAAGCCTCAGCTGGTGGGGGCTGCCGGCGCCAGCATCGAGGGGTGCGAGGGGTCCCAGTGGCACCTTGGCGCCGGCGCCTCTCAGCCTCCCGAAGGGCTGGGGGCAGCAGGGGGCTGGGGGCCCGGCGCCTGGAGCGGAGGCTGAAGGAGTCCCTGCAGAACTGGTTCCGCGCTGAGTGTCTCATGGATTATGACCCGCGGGGGAACCGGCTGGTGTGCATGGCCTGTGGCCAGGCACTGCCCAGCCTGCACCTGGACGACATCCGTGCCCACGTGCTGGAGGTGCACCCCAGCTCCCTGGGGCTCAGCGGCCCCCAGCGCAGTGCCTTGCTGCAGGCCTGGGGTGACCAGCCTGAGGCGCTGTCCGAGCTCACCCAGGCCCCACCAGGTGCGAGGCTCTCTTCCCAGGGCTGAGATCCCCCCACCTAAGGGCTGCAGCGCGTGGTCTCTGTTACCCTGGGAGGCAAGGCAGGGACTCCTGGTTGAGTGCTCAAGGCCTGCTCACCTTCCACTCCTGCACGCGCGCGCACACACACGCACACTATGGCTGGGGCTGCTAGTTTGGGGCTGGGGTGTGGAGCAAGGATGGATGCGCCCCTCCTCCCCCTACGTGGGTAAGGGCAACCCCGCCAGCGGGCTGAGCCCCTCTCCACCCCTTCCCCAACAGACGATGACCTCATCCCCCAGGACCTGACCAGAAAGAGCCGGGACTCCGCCCCCAATGCTGGCGCCCCCTCCTCTCAGGACCTCAGCCCCCCAGACGTAAAGGAAGAGGCTGGCTGGGTCCCTGAGGGGCCCGGGTCCGCAGAGGAGGAGGAGGGCGAGGGCGAGAGGGCAGGGGTCCCGGGCCGGTCGTCTGGGGGCCGCCCGCGCCGCCACTACCAGGAGCGCTGGCGGCTGGAGTACCTCGTGGAGCTGGACGGCTGCCGGCGCGGCCTGGTGTGCATGGTGTGCGGGGGCGCGCTGGCCTCGCTCAAGATGAGCACCATCCAGCGGCACATCCGCCAGCACCACCCGGGCTCCACGCGCCTCAGCGGGCCTGTGAAGGCCCTCATCGCCCGGGAGTGGAGCCAGAAGGCCGCCCGCCTGCTGGCCCTGGGGCTGCCGGGCCCCGAGTCCCCCAGGGGCCCAGCCGCCGCCGCCGCCGCCGCCTCGGAGCAGGGGGGAGGGGCAGAGGAGGCGGAGCCAGAGGAGGAGTGGTGGGGTGAGCCGTGGAGGGCCAGCGCAGGTGGCGAGGGAGACGGGTCAGGGACTCCCCCACCCCCGGCAGGCAGGGAACGAGGTCCGGGGCCGGGCCTGGCGCGGATGAGTGGGTGGGAAGGAAGGACCGATGGATGGATGGGAGATAGGGGAGGTCGGGGTCAGAGGACAAAGGGGGCCGGGACGATGGAGATGCCAGGTGACATCCAGCCTGATTGCTACCCCCCACTTTTGCTCCTTTGTCCCTCCCTAGGCGACGTCCCTCCGTCCCCGGGGACCCCGTTGGAGCGGCCGGCTGAGGAAGAGGAGGATGAAGAGGACGGCCAGGAGCCGGGGGGCTTAGCTTTCCCACCGCTGCCCGCGCCTCCGCCGCCGCCGCCGCCGCTGCCTCCGCCGCCGCCGCCTCCGCCTCCGCCGCCGCCGCCGCCCCGCAGCCGGGAGCAACGGCGGAACTACCAGCCGCGCTGGCGGGGCGAGTACCTGATGGACTACGACGGCAGCCGGCGCGGCCTGGTGTGCATGGTGTGCGGGGGCGCGCTGGCCACGCTCAAGGTGAGCACCATCAAGCGGCACATCCTGCAGGTGCACCCCTTCTCCATGGACTTCACCCCCGAGGAGCGCCAGACCATCCTGGAGGCCTACGAGGAGGCGGCGCTGCGCTGTTACGGCCACGAGGGCTTCGGGCCACCGGCCCCGGCGCCGCGTGACGGCGGCGCTGAGCTCAAGCCGGGCGCCGTGTGTCGGGCATAGCGGACTCGCGGGCCTCCCCGCCCTGTGCTCGGCCCGCCTGGGGATCGCGGGGCGGTGGGGTGGTGGAGCCCCGGGTCCCACAATCCTGGGCCGGCGGCGCTGCCTTGCCCGCTCCCCCGCAGGCGGGGCCGGGCGCGGGCTCGGGGCTGGGTGGGGCCCGGTGCCATTTCCACGTGCGCGCCAGTGGGTGCATCGTGCGCGGCGCCCCGCTCGCCCCGCGCGGGGCCCCCACGTCTCCCGACGAGCCAAAGCCGCGTCCCGGGAGCCCGCTCCGATCCGCGCTACCAGCCCCCGGCCGCGCCCGGGGAGGCGCTCGGCTGCTGGGCGGGCTCGCGCGCCGACTGTCAGTATTATGCCGAAGGCGGGGCCCGGAGGCCGCGCCGGCCCCTTGCCCTGGTGGAGCCCAGGTCTCTGCGCCAGCGGGCGCGGCCCCGCGCTCGGGGGAGGAGGGGAGGGCTCGGCTGCCCGGCCCCCATTGGTATTCCTTGGCCTCTCGGAGGCCCCGGGCGCGGGAGGCGGGGAGGCGGGCGGCCCTGCTGTGGGGCGGAAGCGCTGAGCCAACCGCGGGCGGGGCGAGCGAGGCCGGGCCAGGGCCAGCTGTGCCAGCCTCCTGGGCCACTGTCACGCCCGCCCAGGCAGAGATCGGGTAGCGGAGAGGGATTAGCACTTTTTTTTTCCTTTGCTCCTCTCCTGCCCGGAAGGCCCCCCCCCATTTACCCCTAAGCGGAGCGAGGAGCCCCTGGCCCGGCCCGGGACACTGGCGGTCCCGGCAGTTGGCCTAGAATCCCGCCTCCTCCCCAGGCCGCTTAGGTCCTTGGTGGATGCGGGGTGGATGGCCACATTCTCTGCTCCCAGGGCCTGGGCGGAGCCTTGGCCTCCCCTTCTCTTTCCAGGCTCTGTGGGGGTGGGGGAGCCGCCCCCCCAGCCCCCCGCAGCCCCCCGAGATCTCCCAGGCAGGTCCGAGAGGGATGTGTAGATTCATTCTCCCGTGGAGAACTGGCGGCCCCGAGATCAGGCCCGATTTTTGCTCTTTGTATTTTATTTTGAAACTGTATTTAATGCTTTTATATGAAAGGGGGAGGGGCGGGGAGAGAGCTGACCCAATCACCCTCATGTGCAAAATGTCTTATTTATTATGCGTGTATCAGAGATAAGCTGTGAGGTGGTGGAGGAAGGACCGGAAAGAATGGAGGACAGACATGCAGGGATGGGAGGACACAAAACCTCCTCTCCTCTCCTGGCCCCAGGGTCTGCTCTTCATCAAGAGAAGCCATTGGGGGAACAGGGCCCTCAGTTTAGAGTCGGATGGAGAGGTCAGGGGAGCAGACCCGGCTGCCCTGCCACTTGGGGCCGGTGCTGCTGCCTTGGTGGGTGAGAACAACGCCTAAGGCCTTCCCCGCCTCCCTCCTCTTCCTCCCTCAGGCCAGAACCCAAGGTTCAAGTGCCTCAGGCCCAGTCTCCTTGACTCCTGATTGGGAGTTGGATTTTATACCACGGATTTTGTATCATTTTTATATAATTCCAAATTGTCTGAGTGGGAATACACCCTGGAGATCACTAGTAGTACCATACCTCCTCCATCACTAGGAAACTTCTCAAGGCCAGAAACTGAGATTGATTACACAGCCAACTAGAACAGGACAAAAACTAGCATAAAAATGTCAACTTCCAATTCATTGATTTTTGCACTATACCACACTGCCTCCCAGTCTCTGGGAAATTATTGAGATTTCTCTTATGTGTTCGTTCTGCCAAGGGGTGGCATGTGTTGGGCACTGTAGGCCATCACGGTGCATCTGTAACTTGTGAGCATGGAAAGACTTGACTTCCTTGCAATGAGGATGCTGGGCTCTTCTTTGGGGCAGCCCTTGCCACGGGGCCTCAGTTGGAAAGGAGCGGTGCCTGCTTTATCTGTGATGCCCAAGATCTCGCAGCAGGCAGAGCTCTGGCTTTGCATTCTTTACTTTTGAGGCCATCAGGAGTTCAGGACCCGGCATTCAATTTACTGAAGATGAACTTCCAGTGACTTTTCACCTTTCAGGGTTTCTAAGACAGTATTAAAATAACGAGGACAGAGATTATGAATGGTACCCGAATGGGCACTGGTATTATTTTCCTTCATGCATATTCTCAAACTCAGAATGAGTGTTCCACTCCCTCCCCACCCCGACCTGAAGTTCAGGTTAAGTGGGACAGAGCAGGTTAGGAATGATTCTACCTTTTGGTAGGACAGGAAGCACTGTCTTCATGGAGACAGCTCAAGCACTTCAGTGGCTTACAGTGTGGACCAGCAGCAGCAATCTTAGGAACTTGCTAAATGTAAACATTCCTAGGCCCATATACATTTAGGTTTCCAGAATTAGTGTTGGGATGGGGCCAGCCATGCATTTTGAAGTAAGCCCCCAAGGGTCCTGATGCAGCTGAGGTCCCCAGCCAAGGTCTGATATCACTGTGGGGATTCCATGGTGACCAGTCCTCATCCCTGCCGTGCCTCCTAGTCTCAGATCATCATTAACAGGTGAAGTTTCTTCATGATTTTTTTTTTTTGTGTGTGTTAATGGTATGCTTGCTATTATGGCCAATATGTAAATGTTACTATGAATACATATTTATATACCATGTTACTTAGTGACATTATTCAAACATTTGTATGCGTATTTGTGAAGTTGTATGCATTCAGTCATTAAAAAAAATATTTCAGCCTAAGTTTTCTAAGAGGTATGTTGAATAAAATTTTAAACTTCAGATCAAGTCCCAGCAGCCTTCATTGGGGGGGGAATAATTCAGAGGAGAGACCTGGTGCGTGTGATCAAATCTGAATTTCAGCATTTGTGGCTGTGGCTGCAGGTGATGGTAGGTAGACAGGTTGCTTCACATTGCAAGCAGGGAACCTCCCTGGTTATCCAGGACCTTCCCATGCTCCTGCAAGGATCCCCTCTTGGGGTGTATCTCAGTTCCTGCACAGCTGTGCCTTACGCTATGGAAATCCCATGGTCTTGGGAACTGATTTTTTTTTTTTTTTTTGGTGGTGGTGGCAGTCCTGGGGCTTGAACTCAAGGCCTGGACACTGTCCCTGAGCTTCTTTTGCTCAAGACTAGCGGCTCTACCACTTGAGCCACAGCACCACTTCTGGCCTTTTGTTTCTGTGGTACTGAGGAATTGAACCCCAGGCTTCATGCATGCTAGGCAAACACTCTACCACTAAGCCACATTCCCCAGCCATTCATTATTTTTTTTGTCGGTCGTGGGGCTTGAACTCTGGGCTTGGGCGTTGTACCTGTGCTCTTCAGCTCAAGGCAAGCGCTCTACCGCTTGAGCCACAGCACTACTTTTGGCTTTCTAGTGGTTTATTGGAGATAAGAGTCTCACAGGGGGCTGGGAAGGTGGCTCAGTGGTACAGTACTTGCCTTGCATGCCTGAGGCCTTGGGTTCAATTCCTCAGTACCACATAAGCAGAAAAAAAAAAGCCGGAAGTGGTGCTGTGGCTCAAGTGGTAAGAGTGCTAGCCTTGAGCTGAAGAGTTGAGGGACAGCGCCCAGGCCCAGAATTCAGGCTCCACAATCGGAACCCCCCCCCCAAAAAAAAAAGTCTCATGGACTTTCCTGCTGTGGCTGGCTTTGAGCCTCGATCCTCAGATCTCAGCCTCCTGAGTAGCTAGGATTGCAGGCACGAGCCACTGGCGCCTGGCTCAGCCATGCATTTTGTTTTTGAAAGTCCCCAAGTAGACCAAGGGTTGGAAAACCTTGTCTGGTTCTTACTTTACCCATACGATGTAGAAAGAATGAAGTTAGCAGAACGATACCACAGTCATTGCGTTCTTTATTTAATTAATACCACATCAATTTGCAGTTTTACAGGAACCAGGATTCAAGCTCCTTGGGTGCTACTGTATTTTTTATGTTGCACGCACAGACACGTACACAGTTTCATTAGTAATTTTTTCATCTATAGATTTTTCTTTAAAAAAAAAAAAGATCCTGGCACACATTAAAAAAAAAAATCCAATTATTTAAACACAGCAGCAACACAAAAGAAAAGAGCCAGACGCGGAGGCTTCCAGTGCAGAGAGGGGCCCGTTGGTGGAGATGCCTGTGACTGTCAATGTGCTGACCTCGTAAGACAAAGGACGTGGATGACAAAGTGAGTTAAAAAATTAGAAGGGAAGAGGAAAGTAGAGAAAAGAAAATGGAGAAAGGTTACAGCCTCTTTTACCTATCTAAATGCAAGTAATTTTCCAGAGTAGAAATAAAGTTCCTCTCCCTACTTGTAAGAAGGTGCATGAAACACCACAGCTTGTACTTCAAAGTCGCCAGCTCACATTCCTCCTTGAGGGGTGGGACTCATCTCTGCTTGCTTTCCCAATGATTGGATTCCCACCCACTTCATGTAGACTTGGACTTGGAGATTCCTTATCACTCACTCTCCAGCAACTGCACACAGCCCATCAACACAATGTGGCCCTGCTTACTCGAGCTTACCTAAAGTGCTCTCCACAGGAGCACCCTGGGCCACAACCAGGTGTTGAGCCAGTTTACCTGTCTTAAATACAGCCACAAGCCAGCCTCCAAGCAGCTCAACTCCACATAAGCAATGAGACACATTTCCCTTCACCACAGGCGGTGCAGCAGACACATTTCCCTTCACCACAGGCGGTGCAGCCTCTCAAGCTAGTGCAGCCTGGGTCCGCAGGCTAAATGGATGAGTGCAGGTTAAAGATGCAGCATGTGAAGAGAAGATAAAGAAAATGGGCCTCTGTATTTCTGGAGTTCACCTCTTGAGGACCTTCCCTCCCCCCCACAGACAGGTAGGATTACAATTACTCAATTACTGAGGAGCCCACATGCAGGTTATGTTTTCTCTAACAAGTTTGCAGCAGTGTACAGCAGTTACAGACATTTATTTCATAATAAAAGTACAACCATATTTATTAAACTTGAGGTAAGGTGGGCAGGAAGAGGGGAAGCACATTCTGGAATGAATTCCCAAACCAATGCTCAAACTGGTGTCCAAGAGAGCTGGGTAGGACACTCCCTCCAGCCTGCGGAGCCCTTGCTTACTTCCTTTGCTAGCATGGGTGGCAGAGGGCTGGCAGCCAGACGTGCTCCCACCACCCTCTCCATCCCACCCTCCGTTCCCACTCTCCTTTCTTGGATGGTTCTGAGCACTAGGAATCACCCTCTATAAGTTACTCAATTCAAAGAGGAATATTAGGAATAGCTGCTTATGGTGCGGGGCAGGAAGGTGGAATTAGAGGAAGGAATCCCACTTCTGCCCCAAACAATTTCTTCTTCACAAGTTACTCATTATTTAACTTAAAAAATAGGGATAAAAGTATAATGGGAGCCGGGTGAGACTTGTCCTTGAATACGGAGAGTGGACCCGACATGTGTGCAACCACTCGCCTTCTTCTTCAGTGCCTTCCCCCAGGTAAGAGCTCCACCACCACTAGGGACTGACCCTACCAATTTGATTCTTTATTCTTTTGGGTTCTTAGAGCAGTTTTTTTTTTTTTCCTTCAGTCCAACACTTCTTGTGCTTGATACTGAGGGTAAGGGGGAAGGAGAGGAGAAAACACCAAATTAAAAAAAGCTTGGAATGCAGGCTCAAGCCGACACTGAGCATGTGCCTTCACGGTACAAGTAACAACATTATTTTATAACTATTAAATGGTGTTTTAGTAACTGTTGTGTTTCTGGTTTCCATATGCTTATTCTGCCTTTTTTTTTGCGATTCCAGGGACTTTTGCTTGGATCCTATTGGAGAAAGAAAAAAAAAAAAAAGAAAAGGTGAGTAAAGGTATAAGGAACAATTGCTAGGTTTTAAATTTCACAGTAATGCCAGCAGTCCATCATGGACTGCTTAAATCACATGGAACACATTCCTGTTTTCACAAGGATGGGTGAAGACAGGCAGAGGCAGGGGTATGAGCTGTTCTGTTCTATGCCTGGCACAAGCCCAGGGTCCACAAAGCCCACCTCACCTGCCTGCTTCTCTCCTCTGCCAGAGCTTCTTGGCCCCTCACTGGGGTTCCAGAGAGGAATGAAGGTATTAGGCATAGTGCCTGCTGATGATGCAGGATGCCACAGCCCATTTCTCTGGCTCTGGCAGGCACAGAAAAATGAATGCCAGGTCCCTCGCTTATACTAGAAAGGTCATTCAAACTCCCTCAGGATGTCAAGGCTACCTTCCACATCTAACAGCAGGTGATTCATGTCAACTAACACTAGTGATCAAGAAGACACCAAGTCCAAAACTGAGCTACGAGCATATTTTGCAAATTAATAGAAATAACCAGGCATCAGTGGCTCATGCCTGTAATCCTAGCTACCCAGGAGGCTGAGTTCTGAGAATCACGGTTCAAAGCCAGCCCAGGCAGGAAAGTCTGTGAGACTCTTATCTCCAATAAACCACTAGAAAACTGGAAGTGGTGCTGTGACTCAAGCAGTAGAGCGCTTGCCTTGAACTGAAGAACGCAGGGACAGCGCCCTGGCCCAGAGTTCAAGCCTCCCTGCGACCAACAAAAAAGTCAAAAATTTTTTTTCTTTTTCAGCATGAAAATTACTTACCTTTGGCTTTAGCATTTTCTGTGGGGGGTTAAAATAATTGGAGGGGAAAAGAAATCACATGAAAATAGTGATGAAAATGGCCTGAGTATACATACTTTTCAACAATGGACTTGGTCTGATCCCGGACAATGCCAACATAGTGATCAATCTGTGTCTGTAAGGAAGGAAAGAAGACTCAGTTGTGGCCATACACAGATGAATAACTTTCCCGAAAGCACTTTCCTTTATGTAGTTTACCCATTTTTAAAAACATTATGAATATGCTGGAAAATGAAAAACAAAGCCTAGTTTTTCAAAGTATTGTATCAACTTCTGATTTTAGACTTAATCTTTTGCAGAGGTAAGCCTTACTTAGAGACCCTGATGTACAGAGTTTTCTGAATACTAATCTGTATTCTGTAGTTTTAGCTCCTGGTTAAGTTTTTAATAGCAGAAGAACTAGAGATCTGTGATGTTTGCTTAATCCACATAGAAAGTACACTGCACACACCACCCCACTGACCATTTCCTTCCCAGCCCACAGTTTAAGCTTTTATTTAGGCACTTAACTTTTATTCATTAAGCATTTTTGAACTTTTACTGGAACAGATCATATATATGGTAAAAAGCCAAAATGCATATAATAAGGCATCAAATATCTCTTTCCTCCTTGCATCTGTTCTATATATCTAATTTCTCTTGCTGGAGGAAACCAGTCACTACATCCTTACAGGCACTTGACTCAAAATGAACTAAACTAGTCAAACTAGCCAGCACATGATTGGAAACAAATAGCCTACCTTGTACTTCTCATACACAATTGGGACACTGAACACCAGCAGATCGGCTGGAAGACAGAAGGAAGAGACAAGAAAAGAGCAAATGTGAGACCAAGTCTCAAGATTCAAGAAGTGCATTTTGTCCTCATGAAGCAGATTTTCCTTAAAAATGAGGAATCCTGGCTAACGGTCTCAACAAAGGACAATTAGGGTAGTCTAACAACCCAAAGACCTCTTCTGGTACACAGGCTGCATTCTTTGTACCACACACACCCATTTCCAAATTAAAAAAAAATGGTTTCTTGAAGTAAGTTTCCTGTATTCAACCTACACAACTCTCCCTTGCAGCTGTCTGGTTCCTCCGTGTCCAGAGCGCATCCCTGATGGCTGCCAAGTGAGGGGAACCATGCTGGGCATCTCTATACTTTTACTCAAGAAGCTGGGACACTTTCCTTGCCACCTTACCAAGAATCAGAAGGGTGATTCCATTAAAAACCGCACCCACATAGGTCATCAGCCACATGAAGACAGCGAGCTGTGAAGGAGAACGAGCAGGAATCAAAGTAATGCAGACTTCAGGTCACTGATACTATAAATGGGTGATGAACATTCCCATTGAACTATATATGTCAGAGTGGGAGAGAGAATTCTGCCCACCTCTTAGGTCCAAAGATGGACTAGTAAGTGCACAGATAAAACCCAACTAACAGTGTTGTCACTCTGAACCATACTCCACGTCAGACTCACCCCCAAAAGCTACAGAAACAACTAACCTTCAAGGAGTCAACCAGATCTTCCACGAGAAAGAGACGAATGATGAACTTCAGGGCCTTGTTGACGTGCACCATGGCTGCATTCATGTAGTTGTGGAAAGCTTCTGAGGACAGGGTAATGTCCAAGTCCAGGTACGCTCTTCCAGAGGAAGAAACAACAGTCACACATGTCATACAGGAGGGAAGATTCTGTCAGCACAAGGGTGAAACTGGGCCCTGAATGCATTTTAGGAATTTATAGGGGAATTTTTTTATGATCATGTAATGGGCAGAGGCAAAGATGCCAGGTGGCTGCAAAGTGTAGGATTGTCACAAGAAAAAATTGTCTTATAGTCCTACATAATTAAAAAAAAATTTTTTTACCCAGTCCTGGGACTTGAACTCAGGGCCGGGGTGCTGTCTTTGAGCTTTTTCTGACAGCTTCTTGGAGGAAGACTCTCACAAACTTCTTTGCCTGGGCTTCAAACCACATGACCCTCAAATCTCAGTCCCCTGAGTAGCTAGGATTATAGGTGTGAGTCATTGGTGTCTGGCTTCTGCATAACTTTTATTCCATTGTATATATGTATGTATGTATACATATATTATATACTTGTTTGTATTTATTTATTTATTTTACCCAGTCCTGGGGCTTGAACTCAAGGCCTAGACACTGTCCCTGAGCTTCTTTTTACTCAAGGCTAGAACTCTACCACTTTGAGCCACAGCTCCATTTCTGGCTTTTTGGTCATCAACTGGAGATTTAGAGTCTTACAGACTTTCCTCCTGGGCTGGCTTTGAACCGTGATCCTCAGATCTCAGCCTCCTGAGTAGCTAGGATGACAGTCAGCCACTGGTGACTGGCTCCCAACAATTTTTAACAGTCCTGAATCTCTCTTTATCTTTTGGTGGTAATGAGGCTTGAATTCAGGACTTTCAGTTTGTTAGGCAGTTTCTCTACCATTTCAGCCATGCTCTTAGCCCTTTTTTGGCTTTAGTTATTTTTTTAGTTAAGGTCTCAAAATTCTTTCCCTGGGTCTGGTCTTAGACTGAGATCCTCTTGCCTATGGCGTCTTTAGTATCTGGGAATCAGAGACATATATCACTCATACCTGTTTACCTAGACTGGCTTTGAACCAGAATCACCCAGGTATCTGTCTCCTGGCTTGATGGGATTAAAAGTATGCGAAGCCTCAATTTACCCTTATTCTGATTTTTTTTTTCCTTTGTGCTAGTAGTAGGACTTGAACTCAGGGCTGGCACTGTTCTTAAGCTTTGTGCCCAGCACATTATGAATTTTTTTTTTTTTTTTTTGGTGGTGTTGGGTATTAGACCTAGGGCCTCATGAATGCTAGGCAAGCACTCTTATCATCAAACCAATCCACAATTTGCATAAAATTTCAAATTATATATGATTTTAACTGTTTTATTTCACCAAGAGAAAGAATAGCTCCAGCCTGACAGCCAGAGCCTGTTCTATTGCAAGCCTGAGAGGATCACAAGAAACATAAAAAATTTAAGAAATCGGGCTGGGAAGGTGGCTTAGTGGTAGAGTGCTTGCCTTGCATGCCTGAGGCCCTGGGTTCGATTCCTCAGCATCACATAAGCAAAAAGAAAAAAAAAAAACCAGAAGTGGTGCTATGGGTCAAGTGGTAGAGTGCTAGCCTTGAGCTGAAGAGCTGAAGGACAGCACCCAGGCCCAGAGTTCAGGCCCCACGACCGGACCAAAAAATAAATAAATAAATAAAGAAATCTGGCTGGGAATGTGACTTGGTGGCAGAGTGCTTTATTAGCATGCATGAAGGCCTGGGTTCGATTCTTCAGCACCACATACACAGAAAAAGCTGGAAGTGGCGCTGTTGCTCAAGTGGTAGAGTGCTAGCCTTGAGCAAAAGAAGCTCAGGGACAGAGCCCAGGCCCTGAGTTCAAGACCTAGGACTGCCCCCGCCCCCCCGCCAAATAAATAAAAATAAGTAAAATAAAATTAAGAACCCTGGCATTTATTAACCCACTAAATGTGGGTTAAAAATGTTAAGAGTAAAAATGTGAAGAAAGCATTTGTTAAAGTTACATTATAATCAGAAAAAATAGAAATCAGACCCTAGAGTGTATGACCTCATTTATTAAGATTTGCCTGTGAGGAAGAAGGATGAAAGACAATGAATATGGTCAAAGTAGACTGTGCCTATAAAAACTGAACAATAGGGGCTGGAAAGGTAGCTCAGTGGTAGAGCGCTTGCCTTGCATGCATGAGGCCCTGGGTTCGATTTCTTAGCACCACATAAGCAAAAAGAAAAAAGCCGGAAGTGGCGCTGTGGCTCAAGTGGTAGAGCGCTAGTCTTGAGCTGAAGAGCTGAGGGACAGCGCCCAGACCCTGAGTTCAGGCCCCACGACCGGGCCCAAAAAAAAAAAACGAAAAACAAAAACAAAAAACCCCGGAACAATAAAACCTGTTGATATTATTTTGGGAAGGAGGCAGGGACAGTAACAGAGGGGGTGATATTGATTAGAATATATTGTAAACTATGTGGACATGTAACAATACCTCTCCCCACCCCTGGCATAATTAATATAAACTAAGAAAAAAAATCCTCTGAGATTATGAAAACTAAATGACAGCTAAGAAGGAAATCAGAAATAAAGCTAAGAGAAAACACAGAGCACAGCCCCCATGCCAGGATTTCAAAGCCACTTCCAGCCCTGGGAGCGTGGGTCAGTAGTACAGGTATAGGGCTAACGAGCAAAGGCTCAGGGTTCACATGCTATTATTGCCCCCAAAATGCAGCTTCAACATTAACATGGCTGTCTGACTAGGTGCTCTGGGTATGTGGTGTCCTCTCCCCCACCCAGGGTTCACAGTGTGAGCCTCTAGTTTGTTGAAAAGTTCTCAGATCCTAACCTGGCCACTTCTTAGGGTGACTGACTGTAAAATCTGTATGGGCTGGTTTGTATCATCATTTTTTTTTTTTTGGTCAGTCATGGGGCTTGAACTTGGGGCCTGGGCATTGTCCCTGAGCTCTTTTGTTCAAGGCTAGTGCTCTACCACTTTGAACCACAGCTCCACTTCTGGTTTTCTTGTGGTTAACGAGCGAAGAGTCTCATGACCTTTCCTGCCTGGGCTGGCTTTGAACTGTGGTACTCAGATCTTAGCCTGAGTAGCTAGGATTACAGGTGTGAGCCACCTGTGCCTGGCTAGGGCTGATTTTTTTTTTTTTTTAGAGCTGATCAGACCCAGAAAACCCCTCCAACTAAAATGTGGACTATCATTTTAACTTACTTGAATGGATGGCCTTCTTCTGACTTCTGCACAGCTTGGATGACAGATTTGTAGACTCTGAAGCTGATGGTGACAGAAAGAAGGGCCAGGATGAGGTAAGAAACCACACTGATGACACTGAAAGCTGCCAGGGAGAGCAGCGTGATCAGCGTGGCGCCAAAGACAAAGCCAGTCTTCTTCACGTCTCGCCAGAAAATCAGATCGTGCACTGCCAAGAGAGGGGAGGGGGAGTGTAAGGTATAGAAGCCAAGACTGCTCTCTATTGTGTCTTGCATGCACCCCACTAGCACAGACATGGCTACAACCCATTTCAAGAGTATCTGATACTTAAAGAGTTTATTTTGGCTACTGAAGTCCATATAGGTAAAGTGTCTTTGGCAGAAAGGATGACAGCTGACAATACGATATCTTTGGAACTGCTGACTAAAACTTTACAATCAAATCAAGGACAATGGCTTATGCCTGAAGCCTCAGCATTGTGGAAGCACAAGCTGGAGGATCCCAAGAGTTATAGGCTGGCCTGAAAAACTGTACTTTTTTTTTCCCCCAAGTATTTTTTTTTTGCCAGTCCTGGTGCTTGAACTCCGGGCCTCGGCACTGTCCCTGAGCTTCTATTCCTCAAGGTTAGCACTCTACCACTTGAGCCACAGCGCCAACTTCTGGCATTTTCTGTTTATGTGATACTGCGGAATCGAACCCAGGGCTTCATGCATGCTAGGCAAGTACTCTACCACTAAGCCACTTTTCCAACTCGTGAAAGTAAATCTTTAGCTCCCATTTCCTGCATGGAGAACAGGAACTATTTTTCTGTTTTTTCCTTTTCTCATTTAATCTCATTTTGCAAAAATAAATCCTTGCTAAATTAAAAAAAAAGTGAAAGTACAGAAGGGTTATAAATTGATTTAGACTATAAAACCAAAGCTAACTGGAAATGTACAAAATGGAACAAGGGCAAAGAAAGTAGCAATAAAAACTAGCCAATACCCATAGTGCTAGTTACGATGATGTCAGTCTATGATAATCTGGACAACTCAAGGATTATGCTTAGGAGATGTACTGTTAATTCATACTGTTATGCGAACTGTAATACGTGTGTGTGTGTGTGTGTGTGTGTGTGTGTAGAAATTGAACTCAGGGCCTGTGCAAGTGATTTATGACTAACCCACCCCCTTTACCTGGTGCTTTGTTTTATTTTTGTGATTATACTGGGGCCTGAACTCAGGGCTAGAGTACTCTACACTTGGCTTTCTCACTCAAGGCTGAGAGCCTCTACTATTTCACTTTCATCTTTTTGCTGGTTAACTGAAAATAAGAATCTTATGGCCTTTTCTGTCCAGGCTGGTTTCTAACCTAGGTCCTCAGATCTCAGCCTCCTGAGCAGCTTGGATTACAGCCACTGGCATCCGGTTTGCCTTTTGAGAAAGGGTCTAGTTAAACTGCCTAGGCTAGCCTCAAAATTCTAATTCTTTTGCCTACCCAGTAGCTTGGATTATAAGAATGGGCTACTATGCCAGCTAATTTTTACTTTTAAGAGCCTGGGTCTCACTATGTTGTCCAGGCTGGCATAGAACTATTCAAGGGATGCTTCTAACTCAGCGCCCAGGCAGCTGGGACCATAGACAGGAACCAGAACATTCTGGCCATCCACAATACTTTTTTTTTTTTTTTTGTCGGTCGTGCGGCTTGAACTCTGGGCCTGAATGCTGTCCTCAGCTATTCAGCTCAAGGCGAGCGCTCTACCACTTGAGCTACAGGGCCACTTCCGGTTTTCTGGTGGTTTTATTGGAGATAAGAGTCTCATGGACTTTCCTGCCCGGGGCTGGCTTTGAACCTAGATCCTCAGATTTCAGCCTCCTGCGTAGCTAGGATTACAGGTGTGAATCACTAGCGCCCGGCTTCCACAATACTTTCAAAGTAAGTAGGGCACTATTAATAATGGTGTTAGGAAGCACGTGTAAAGCAGACCATTGAGGAAACAGGGTTTTTTATGGCTGGGCTATCTAAAGTAAAAAAAATCTTTTCTTTTCTCTGCCTCAACAACTGGATGGCATATGTTGACAAGTACTTCCAATCTAGACACAAAATGTGCATTTCAACTTCTAAAGACCAACACTTAACACTTGTTGCTCCAGTGAGACTCTCCCTCTACTCTGCTCACAAAAAAGAGCAAGGTACTGGTGGCTTATGCCTTTAAATCTAGCTTCTAAGGAGGCTGATATCTTTGCATTGCAGTTCGGAACCAGGCTGGGTAGGAAAGTCCGATACTCTTATCTCAAATTAACTACCAAAGCTTCAGGACAGGCTCACATAAAGAGCAAGGCTCTGAGTTGGAGAGACAAAGTTTGAGAACTAGGTGCTGGGTGCTCATGCCTGTAATCCTAGCTAACTCAGGAAACTGAGATCTGGTCAGTACAGTGGGAAGCCAGCTCGGGTTAGAAAAGTTCCCCTCAGATTCCCATCTCCAATTTAACCACTCAAAAACCAGAATTGGCTGGGCGCCAGTGGCTCATGCCTATAATCCTAGCTACTCAGGAGGCTAAGATCTGAAGACCAGGTTCAGGTCCAAATCCAGCCAGGGCAGGAAAGTCCCTGAGACTCTTATCTCCAATAAACCCCATAGTGGTGCTGTGGCTCAAGCGGTAGAGCACTTGCCTTGAGCTGAAGAGTTCAGGGACAGTGCCCAGGCCCAGAGTTCAAGCCCCACGACCAACCAGAAAAAAAAAAAAAAAGACAAAGAACAAAAAACAAAACAAAACAACCCAGAAGTGGAACTGTAGTTCAAAATAGTAGATTGCTAGCCTTGAACAAAAGAGCTCAGGGACTGAGCCCAGGCCCTGAGTTCAAGCCCCACAACTGAAGGGGGGAAGGAAAGTAGGAAAGTAGAGTGTGAATCCTGGTAATTTCTTTTTTTTTCTTTTTGGGTCCAGTTGTGGGGTCTGAACTCTGGGCCTGGGCGCTGTCCCTCAGCTCTTCAGTTCAAGGCTAGCGCTCTACCACTTGAGCCACAGCACCACTTCCGGCTTTTTTCTTTTTGCTTATGTGGTGCTGAGGAATCGAACCCAGGGCCTCAGGCATGCAAGGCAAGCGCTCTACCATTGAGCCACCTTCCCAGCCCCAATCCTGGTAATTTCTAAGCATCTTACTTTTAACCTTTCTAAAAGCATCCATCTTTTCACCTTTATGAAGAAAAGATGTTTCTAGGACTACATAAAGCTAATACAGGGAGGTACACTGTAGACATTCAAATTTTAGTTGTACTCAAAATATGGTTAGCCTAAAAGACTGTGATTTTGGATAAAGTGAATTTGAAATTGATCCCAACTGACCAGATGGCACCCAGTTCTTCCCCACGGTCATCTGTAATACTCTCCTCTGGACCCAATCCTAAAACCAGATTTTGCCAAAATCTAAAAGAAAACACTAAAAATATGCTGAATGTATAGAAGAAATAACTGCTGGTTCAGAAGCAGCATCCTGATCCCCAGTGGAAAACTAAGCATTGTTGCAAAAGTGAAAGACAAGTGGAAGGCACTCAGACTCACCTGGCTGAACAGGAAAACCAAACAGAGCCTACTAGAGAATGAGTGCTAAGTAGGAGTCAGGGCTGGAGTTCATATGCTACAAGAGGAACTAAGTGTCACTGACAGAGAAACAAACAGATGCCACAAGCCTCAGGATGGAATGCATGGAGGAGAGTGTTGTATCTATGGTATTCCTGCCTCAAATACAACCTGATTCTAAAGAGAAGACACCATGCAAAGTCAACAAGACCTATTTCTAATACTATCAATGGAGAGACATGTCAGTGCATAAATGCCAAGTGTGATCTTGGACTAGACGCTGCAAATAGGGGTAAAAATCATTAAAGACACCATTGGGCTGAAAGTGGTAGCCCATTCCTGTAATCTAAAGCCTTAGGAGGCTAAGGCTGTAAGAGTTCAAAGCCAGACTGGGCTACACATAGCAAGATCCTCCTCAAAAAACAAAAACAAGGCAAAAAAAACAAAAAAGCAACCAATCATCTAACCAACCAAATCTTCATGCTGCACAAATGACAAAATCCGAATGTGAATAGACTAGAGTACTGCACTTGGTTTTTTTTTTTTGGTCGGTTATAGGGCTTGAACTCTTGAGCCTCAGCGCAGTCCCTCAGCTCTTCAGCTCAAGGCAAGTGCTCTACTGCTTGAGCTACAGCGCCACTTCCAGTTTTTTAGTGGTTTGTTGGAGATAAGAGTTTCACAGACTTACCTGCCAGGGCTGGCTTTGAACCGTGATCCTCAGATCTCAGCCTCCTGAGTAACTAGGATTACAGGCATGAGCACTGGTGCCCGGCCTGTACTTGGTTTTATGCGATTAAAGAAGGGCTGGGAATGTGGCTTAATGGTAGAATACTTGCCAAGCATGCATGAAGCCCTGGGTTCCATTCCTCAGTACTACATAAACAGAAAAAGCCAGAAGTGGTTCGGTGGCTTGAGTGGTATGCTAGCCTTGAGCAAAAGAAGCTCAAGGACAGTGCCCAGGCCCCAGGACCAAAAAAAAAAAAAAAAAAAAAGTTAAAGCCAGAAACCAGCAGCTCATACCAATAATCCTAACTACTTGGGAGCTTGAGATCTGAGGATCATGGTTCAAAGACTCTTACCGCTAATTAATCTCTCAAAAACCCGAAGTGGAGCTGAGGCTGAAAGTGGTAGAGCAAAAGAGCTCAGGTGCAGCACCCAGGCCCTGAGTTCAAGCCCCTCAACTAACCCCCCAAAAAAAAGGAAAAGAGAAGGTTCCTATTCCAAGAATATCTATCAACCATCAATGGTTCAGGGAAAAAACATGCATGTGGACAGAGAAGGAGGGAACACCAAAGCACATACAACCAAATGTTTATAGTGAACAAGAACAAGCCAAGTCATGTGAAAGTTTCTTGCCCTATGCCCTTAGTTTTTAAGTCTTAAATATCTGAGGTGTGTGTGTGTGTGTGTGTGTGTGTGTGTGTGTGAAGCAAGCTAGAGGACAAGGCTAAGGCCTACACAGAAAGGAACTTTATGTATCAGAGATGGAGAAGGGTAAACAATGTGAAAACAAATTAGAAATTTCATTCATGTGCAAGTTGTCCTCATGAACTCTACTGTCACCTGCTGGAAAACTATGACAATAGTCAAGCCTACAACACTAACTCATGTGCCTACAAGAGAGCAGTACACAACCTGCACCAAGCGC